GTTGCTATTGAACAGAATTTGACCAGCAATGAGGTCAAGCTATGCAATGCATTTATTCACGCCAGTCTGAAGAAACAGTGAGCATAGAACACATGAACAGAACTCAATGGCCAGCTGGGAGCTGTTGTGCTGGGATGAACAAAGGAGATTAGGAGACCCAGGGTAACAAGTCAAACGTTCTGACCAGCTTGAAGCACATAGCAATCAGTTAATTGACACTGAAAACAAACTACAATAATTCTCTTAATGAGGACATAGCCACTGAGAATGAATGCCTTCAAAATGAATTCACTCACATGATGCCCACGTAAGTAGCTTTGCACACTGCTGAGATGTGCGAGCTCACTAACAGGAGCCTGACAGAGGGCCATAGGGGCACAGCACCCACTTCTCTGCAGCCTGATTGAATGGGAGGGCTGAATGTTCTTGTTCAAAGCACTGCAAGCACCCAGTCACATGATTTCCTCCTCTGCTTTGCCGGTTGCAGAATGTCATGCTCACACAATGACATCATGGCTTTTAGGAAGAAAAAGGGAAGAGAAAGCTTATAGCCTATGATAGAGAGAAGGTTTTCAGAACTTCTATCTAGACTTTTCAGCAATATTCCAGACTGTTTTCACTAATTACATGTTTAAGTTCACAGAGATCAGTGACAACTTAAGATTTATCCAACTCTATGGGCAAAACCCAAAGCAGTCATAAGTATGGAAACAATTTCCATTCTTCAAGTTAGCAAACACTCACAAGACGTGCCCACTTTTGTCTACAAGCAGAGTATATTTTCACCACACATTCAATAGCAGACAATTGGTCATTGTGGTGTGCTGCAGGGGTCTGTTGCCCTGGGAATGGACATTCGTTGCATGCTGAACTTAACTTTTCTTGAGGTTATTTCTAAATATATAGCAAGAAAGTTCCCAACAAAGGAACCATGTCTGGATGGGGCTGGTCACAATGCCACAATATTAAGTATAGCCTAAAGCATATGACTCAGTGGCCACACTAAGCTAAAAGCAAGACTTTTGATCCATTTTTCTTTTATATACTAAGTGCACTCAATGAAGAGTATGATAGGACACAGATCAGAGCATGTACTTTTTGTGCTCCTCAAGGGAAAACAAAGGCCTCTCAGTGTCTTTTCTTGAGTGTGAGCCTAAACCAATTGGCACACCTTCAGTGCTCCTATTTACTTGCCCTTGTAAGACAGAGCCTCAAGGATGTGAATACAAGGCAAGCCCAAGCAAGCAGTGTTCCTGCATTCATGAATGCCATTGTGTGGGTGTACTGCAGGAGAAAGAAGAGGGTAAGTAGCAATGTACAAGCAATGGAGTGTGTGGGTGGATGGAAAGAGCGGGTACAATACAGAGAATGAGGCAGAAAGGACTTCCAAGTTCACTGGTGTGAAACAGGTTCGGGTAGGCGAGGTGCTTAATGAACAGAGGAGCATTAAAATAGAAACACAAACAGGAAAGACTGACTGTAAGAGCAAAAGAAGAATAAAGAGAAAGCATGGGGATTAATAAGGATGCTATTATGAGTGAACATGAGAAAGAACAGAAAGAAATATAAAGCTTTGAGCAAGAGTTTCTCTGGAAGCATTATCCTTGCTGACAAGAAAAGAATTGCAATAAAAACAGTCATCAACTATCAGATAGTTTAGACAATATATTTAATACTTGGAAAAAAAACTGGCCAGAATAAGTGACAAGTTAAACAGCTTTGGCTTGATAGTAATTTCTCTCTCCATCTTTAGCTTTTCTGTTTCCTTCACTTTGCTTTCTTCCTCTAAAGCATGTCCAGCTCAACTACTGAATGAACCAGGTAGTATTGGCTCCTCCACAGCACATCCTTACAACACCACAGTTCTGCACCCTAAGGATGCAATCTAAGGATTCAATCTAAGGATTCAAATGAACAAGGCTGTATCAGAAGCCACGTTAGACAGCCTGTCCAACAAATGCCTCAGCAAATTGCTTGTCTCCCTCTCTCTCCTGGCTGGATAAGAAATCCCTTTCAGGCTACATAAGATCATTCACTACAATCAGAGGGTTTCCCCAGAGCCTGCAGAAACCTACATCCATCTTCATGAGATCTGTTTGAATTGATTACTTGCATCTTCTCCTTCACAGTGATGTCAGATGACATCTAGTGGAATATCCATGTAATAAGAGGGAAGGCACAACATAGGCTTGATCAGGCAACCTGTCATTGAAGCATGTTGTGGTTTTCTTGTACTCTGCAAAAGATGTTTGATCACAGTGTCACTAATCACTCATGAACAATAGTTAATCACTACATAGTTTAAGTTTACTAGGAAATGATCTTGCCAAAATAAGATACTTAATGTTATGCAAAAGAACTTTCAGATACACACGTATACAAAGCCTCTCCTGACCCAGACATCATGTCCATTGTAGGCACAGGTAAGTACTCACAAGTGACAATAACCCCAGAAAGTCTTCCACTGTCAGCCTTCTAAAAAGTTTTTTTCCCCACCTCTCCAATCACTTACCCAAATGCTACGAGATAGTGCTGACTCCCAGAGCACTGATATCATTACAATCCTCTAGAGACAAGCAGAGAAACTTCATTGCTATTGCACTGGAAACGCTTCAGCAGAGAAGAATAAACAAGGTACAGATCATTTTAATATTAATTTAACGCGAGGTCATAACCTGGGCAACAACTGGGAGAAGAACAACAAAGGACCTCATACACGTTAGTGAAGTTCTAGTGTCATCACTCAGACTGCACACATTACCATGTTGACCAGTTATAAGCATAACACACCTCACACTGATGGGTCAGAGCTCTCGCATAACAACCTGATGTTCTTGCCTCAATGCAAGAGGACCAAACCTGTTCGTAGTGCAAGAGTGCTGCACCTTGTTTCAGCATGGACTTCAGACTCTATAGATCTTGGCTAAAAATATTTGTCACCAAACTTGGACAATTCATGAAAGATTTAAATGAAGTAAAACAAAGCTTAATTTTGTTGCAGCTGATTTGCAGAGACATCCAGACAACTTTAGAGCAAACAGTCTCTATCAGTGGTGCAGAGTCCAACAGAACTGTTCCTGATAGAAACCACAAGCACAATTTGCCTATGGCACATATAAGGAAGAAGACGAGACAGGCACCAGCACATGCAGAGCAGACACATCCATAGGGAAGTAAGACCTTCTGCATTTCAAGAAAATAATAATAATTAAAAAAAAAAAAAAAAAACACAGGAAATTTAGAATCTTATCCCTACAAATGCAGCTAATAAATGAAAATTTTAACCGGGAGGAAGGATATTTGAGTTTCTATAGGTATGATGTTTTGTGCTTACAAGCACAGCATAAGAAAGGAAACACTTATTTTTGGCATGTAAATTTGCTTCAGAATAGCAAAGGCATTATTTTAAGAAGTGTTCCTGATGTATAAACAGCTTCTTCATAATTCACGTGTGAATATTTTATGTAAAATTCCTAGTACAAATTAGTCTGAATGACATCACAGAGGGCAACTGAGCAAAACTTAAGCTGTTTCTCCCCAAAGGCTCTGCTAAAACCTGCATGGAGCATCAAAACCTGTGACACCAGGTAGCTTACAATTCACTAGCTTGGTATACAGATGCTGTGAATCAAAACAGAATAGGCTGCCCAGAGAGGTGGTGGAGTCACCATGCCTGGGCATATTCAAGAAACATTCAAATATTGTACAGAGGGACGTGGTTTAGTGAGAAATATTGGTGACAGGAGGACACTTGGAACGGATATCTTGGAGGTCTGTTCTGATTGTAGTGATTCTATGAAAGCACATGTTGGAGCTCAAAAATAGGTAATGCTCTAGATTGGTATCATATCACATCTTGTACACAAATGAATACTCTCAAGTCTTAAATTCATTTATCAGACAAATAATTCCTCTGCAAGTATTGTAGCCATGTGACTTTCTTTTTGATTAAGGCCCTGTGAAAAGCGCAGGTCCTACACATTAAGAAAAAACTGTGAATTATTACCAAAAAAAGTTATACCTATTATATAAAAAAGCATGATATCCTCCACTCACCCTACATTCATATGTACCAGCTGAAAACAGCTCCTGCAGCCTCCAAATAGCTGGCTGAATTACCAAAGCAGAGAAGTCATGACGTACGTGTGCTACCATTTGCAACAGAGAATAGGGCACAAACATAGGCAAGGTCACAGGCTGTACTTGTGACATTTGGCCAATGCAAAATTGGCACACACTGCATGAGGGCACGTTGTAGCTTTGCGTGCTGGATCTGTTTTGTTTATAGAATAACATCATTGTCAGCAGTAACAAGTGACAGACTGATGGAATACAGACTACATACTTCTGTGGAATGAAGAAAACCCAAGGATAAAGATAAAATATAAAAAAAAAAAAAAAAAAAAGAAACAAAAAAAAAACTAAGATCAGCACACTTTGTACCTTGGCCTATTTGGAAATATTTTGTATGTAAAGAGAATTACAAAGCCTTTGTTGTCTGGATAGCGAATGCACACACATAGCCAGCTCTGGGGCACAATATTTTCTTTAAAACCTCAAACTCTGCTTTAAAATGTTCCTCAGAGCAACAATATCTCATTATGCAGTATGACTTCTCACCTTGAGAAAAAAAAGATAATGAATGACACTTTCGAATTTAGATGGAAGTAGCTGAGCTACTGCTTCATCTCATATTTTCGGGGAATTTCCATGCAGCACTAACTGTAGGTTTCAAAGGTTGTTTTTGTTTGTATTTCAGTGACCAGTAAGCGTAACATGAAGACATACAAAAAAAGAGGGCACTAGGTAAAGACTGAAATAAGACAATGGGGATGGTTGATAATCCTACACCAGAATTTAATGTGTAATGCTTTTAAATATAGAATATTGCGTTGTTCTAAAATCCCCCTTTTGTGCAGAGGGTGAGATCACAGCAAATGCTAGTGATATGAATAGGCAAATGTAGAGGAAGTTATACAGAAAACAAGCAGAACGTAGTTCGGAGAATTCCACAAAAGTAGGAAATGAGCAACAGTCACTGGCAGACCTGCAGGGCTGCTGGAGCACAAAGAGCCCAGCTGCAGTACCACGCTAAGGGAAGTTAAGAAGCTTCGATATCCTGTAGGAAATCTACTGGGTAAGACTCTCACACAATATCAAACTGGATTTGGACATTAATAAGTCTAAGAACAGGATCATTTGACAAGTTCAGAATGCTGCACTGGGAGATATGGCCTTGTTCTATGTTTTATCATGTTTGAGTTGGAAGGAAAACTAAGTTGCCAGAATAGTATATGCCAATCAAACCCAAACCTGAAAGAAACTATGACCTGAAATAAATAACGTGCAAGATAACTGGTTTGCTTTCAGGCAGATCTATATAAATTCACCTTCCATCCCTTGCAAGCTTTTCACAGCATTCAATCTCTCTGGAAAGAAAACGGAGAGAGATATAATCCAGGTCAGAAAATATTGATGGAATTTTTGTTTTGCTTTCTTCTTGTTGTGTTTCTTGCATGTTTGGTTGTTTTTTTTTTGTGTGTGTATGTAAATATATGCTTAACAACCTTGTCCTTATTACAAATAATACCTGCTCTCATATCATCTCTATAAGAAATGTAAGCCCTATTTTTAATCAGTATTGATTAGCTGGTAACTGCATGGCAAATTACTGCCTCATGCTTCAGTTACTGAACATTGTCCAGTTTACACTGAGCTCTGATTCTTGATCCAGGTGTATTTGTCCTTTCAGAAAAGAAATAACCACCTTATTTTCCTTTTGGTGAAGGTCACTTTTTAAAGTTCTCTTCACAGATGGGAAAGAAAAGAAATATCAGCTCCATTTCTTTCCACCTTTAGAAATATCTGTTGAACTACCTACATTTTTGCATGTTACAAAAATACATTTTGGAGTAATGGTTCAGCCACAACTTAAAAAAAAAAAAAGAAAAAAAAAAAAGCTTTAAAATAAAAGATGATAAAGATTAGATGTCTAAAATAAGAATGCTGTTAGAGTAGGCAGCACTGCTGCATGGAGGACTGAATTACAAGTAGAATTTAAGATAGCCAGAAATCAGTATAGGAAGATTAAAACTCACATAGTTTTCATGTTTAGGAAAATGAGTCCAAATGCTTGCTGGCTTTGCATGACATTCAGAGCAGAAGAAAATGGGATCATTTCTAAGTAAGTAACGACACAATTCTTACATTTTGCAGAACAGAAATATAAAACCCACAGAATTCACTATGAGTTTTCCTTACAAGCCTAAAATCACGCAGATGAGTGCAGCATCCTCACAACTGCTCCAGCTGACCACCTGCAATGCAGCTAATTGCTTTGCAGTATATTAAGTGTACATTAGTACTTCTCTGTTGGAAATGGGGTGCATCATAGTGGGAACTTTTAAGTATTTAGGCACAGGCCTGACCTAATCCTTGATTTAATCTCAGTCTTATGACCCAAAAGAATCTGTAAACCCTATTTTGTGCAGTTCTTTTGAAGAATTCAGACTATTGGCAGAGATTGAATATGTGTGTGTCCTTCCACACATGAAGCTGTGCTGTGGAGTGGAAAAGAGAAGCAGCAGTGCCTCCTGCAAGTCATCAGCTGTGTCCAAACTCAGTGGAGGCCAGGCATAGCCAGAAGTTTTGGCCATCATGTCATACATCAGCATGGCTAAAAAGCTTCTATTCAACACACCTGTTACCAGCTTGTACACTGTACTTATTTACTGATTGGAGAAAAATACATCCTCCATAGCAGTACTGAGGTATTTCTGTTGACCATCATTTGTGTGAGGCTAAGTGACAGCTCAGCAGAAATCCAGAGAGCATTTCCAGAAGTGTCTCCTGGACAAGGACTTTTCTTCTACACAAGAATGTCTCAGCCTGTGGGCTACTGATGCAGTGCAGCCAGGGAAATCCCAGGCACTGGGGGAGAATAATAAACAAACTACAGCTTCCACAAGGCTTGGCAATAGCATTTAACATATTAAGTATTGGAATCCCAGCTATAAAGCCTCAGATAACTATGGAGAATACTCATGTTTCTCAGCATAATAAATGTTCTCCAGCAATTTGAATCACCTTGCCAATCAAAGCTGCGAAAACATTGCAGTCAGCACAGCAGCTATGAGACTGGCATTAGTAACACATGTTCACATTTCCCTTAGTAACATTCATGATTCTGAAAGGAAAGACAAAAAAAAAAGTAAAAAGATTTTCCTCCATGGCAGCTGCCCCATCAGGTCACCTTCTTTCTGCTTCAGAGATTAATGCTAAAGGTAAATAATCAGACATGGAAATAAGGTGGCCCTGCTGATGATGCTTGGTGAGACAGACAAGACTTTCATATTCAAATGCTATTGCTGACAGGAGTGAAAAATTATCTGCATCAGTAACACTGATGATGACTCAGAAGTGGCTCCCAAGGAAAGGGAGCATTCAAATGAATAAAGATTATCACTTCCCACAATAACAAGCTTCATGAGCTTCCACAGATGAGAGCCACTCACACATGGGAGGGGGAAAAAAAGAACTTTTGATGAGAATCAAACATGTTGGTAAGAACTACTAACAGTGTAATTCGATAGCAGTAAGATTTAAATTGATATGTTTCTGATCACACAAACCTGACACAATAATCAGTATGCCTCAGTACACTTGGTCAGAGAATTCTACCAAATTAAAGATGAAAGGGTAATCACCAGTTTTGAAAGCTACAAAACATCTGGTGCCTGTAGTGCAGCAGAAGCCTATGAAGCCGCATGCTGCATCCATACTTAAGCTGATTTTGCTTTTCATTATGGAGATGTGAATATCTCTTCTGAGGTACCTTTTACATGCTGCAGTTCTAGAATGACTAAAATTATACTTCATGTGAAAAGGGAGCACTCGGAGAAGCTCTCCCCAATTCAGGCTGACTCATAGTGGAAAGCGCTCATTGGAATACATCTCTGCGTTTTCTTCTACTAATATAAGTGAGAGCATTTTTTCCAAGTTACTAGGCATTGAGCTTCTAGAATTGCAAGGCTTAAAAATCAGTTGGTCTAAGTGGAGCAACATGCACATGTCTGGCCATCAAACATTTGTTTTACCTTACTGTGTTTAGTCTCTCACCTCACTGCTTCCATACTTTTTCCCAGAGTCAGGCAGGAAACTCCTACAATCTTATGAAATTGCCATTTGAGTATAACAAACAAACAAATCTGGTTTCATCTTCAAGAACTGTTTCTAGATTAGTAATAGCATGTCCTACTATATTGTAAACAACTGGAGAGAGATGGAGAGGATGTACCTTACAGCTGAGGTTGTGTTAAGCTTTCAGTATTTATGTTAAGTTTGGAGCTTATTTTCAGCTCTCAGCTGATAAGTCAACTTAACTGCAACTTGGTCATGAAGGGTCTTTAAAAATTACAGTAAGAATCTGGGCTCCTAAAGTCTTTGATACTAAATACGAGTGTCAGCGTTGCATAATCAATCACACAATTCCCATACCAAACTGGTTACAATCTAGAAAGTCACTATTTACCATGTGCTTAACCTGAGCTCTAAATCAGCGAGTACTATTTCCAGAGGAATTAGATAGGAACACCTCGAGATGGAACTATAAGCTGTATTGAAGAGAATACATGCTTAGTAAGCACAAGACATAAGATACACAGAAAAGCTCTTTCAAATGCAAGATTCATACGTCTTATTTAAATTAGGGAACAGATTTTCAATAACTAATTATATACGATTTGTATGTTTGAGCCATGGCTAATTCTATAATCATCTCCTTCTCTATTTTATCCTGAAGAGTGTCTTTGGATGAAGTGCTACAGTGGTCCCAGTCTTTTGAAAAACTGATAATGAGTAAATGTAAGTAAATGTATGCTCGTATCCCAGTTGAATTGCTTAAAAAGCTTCTTACGGAGGACAATCAGCAAGACAAGCAGTATGCTGTGTGCTTTATCTCACATGCAGCTACTGAAAAACAGCTTAGGGGGTTGTGCTTACCATGCATCACTCAGAAGAAACTGAAAGCAAAAGTGATTTGGCAAACACCATGTATAGCCAAGTATGGAGAGCAAGAAGAGGAACAGAATGAGAATTTGTAACTATGAAGAAAAAGGCAGAGTTTACAATTAAAACATTTAACAGCAACCAACTTGGCTTGCTACACTTCATAAGGAAAGCACAGGGAGAAAGCACTTTTTTTTTTTTTAATAAAAAAGCAACAGTTGAGTGCAAGTCCATGGTTACTGCTACATCACAACCCACCATCTTTAGCTAAGTGAAACTCAGAATTCTGCACCAACAGGAAAACTTGTTTCAAGTTAAACATTTGTGGTTTCCAGCAATACTCAGACAATGCCTAGCATAAACTTCAGTGCTCCTGAATAGCAAAATGCCAAAGTTTAAAGGAAGTTACTGCACACGTAGCAAAATGCAATGTCAAAGTATAGAGTTCTATGGTGAATTAGTGCATTTGATTTCCCACTTTGATATAATCTTTCGATAAGAATGTTTAGAGACGTAGAGCATAGTTGTACACACTACCTTATAAATATCTCTATCTTCAAAGCCTTCTCAAGGTTATAAACCTGGTATGCTGTATATGAAGTTTGGCTTTCAAAACATTTACAGATGGACCTATGATCTACAAGACCTACTTGAAGACAGAGCACAGTGATGAAAACATAGAATTCTGGCTTGCTTGTGAAGCTTATAAGAAGATCACATCCCAAAGAAAAAGGATTTATGTGGCCAGGAAACTTTTTACAAATTACATTCAATCCCAGGCTCCAAAAGAGGTGATATACCCTAACATGAGCTTTTTGTTTCCTCTATAGAATTGTCTGAACTGTAACGTAGTTTACAAAATGCAACAGATATTTAGATCTTCTCATAAAGTGATTGGAGACTCCTGTTCATCCTCTCATAGCTTTTCTGTACCCATAATATCAATACTTTCCTTTACTGCTTTGTCTATAAGAAAATGCTTCATATGTATCCACACACCACGTATGCATGTTAACACACAGCTAGATTAAGACCGAAATTCATGGATCTTCATGTTCTTTTAAGATCAAGGGCCACTGATCTCACTTCAATAGATCTTGAACAGTGCCATTCTGTCATGCAGATACTAATCTGGTCTTTGCAAGAGTAAACAAACAAATGAAGAACTCCACTCAGCCCTATCCTTTTAGAAAAGGAGTTGATAGAAAGACTCTGAAACAACTTAATCACTGCACCATAAGGTTCAGGAAAAATACTGAAGATCTGAGCATTTAAAAAAAAAAAAAAAAAAAAAATACTCAGGTGACCATGCAAAAAAAATTAACTCCTGCTCAACAGTTTCTACTCTCAGACTTAAGCCTGTCTTGCTTATTACCCTCCTTGGAAAAATGTTTATACTGGCTTTTACTGCCTCTATCCCAGCAGAATGACATAGCTGAAGTATCCACATTCATTATTTTCTGGTTTACATATAATCATAAACAAATTACAGAATCTCAAAACAGCCTCTCTGTTGACATCAAAGGCCAAGCCAAACCAAACCCAGCTCTGGTTGGTCTCCAGCTGTTGGCTGAGATCATTTGCTCCTTTAAATGACTAAGCCACTCCTACTAACATAGAAGTAGAGGAAGTTTGAAGGCTATTGGTTTTAAAACACAATTGAAAGTGTAATTCACTTTTGTCTTTTCCTAAACTTTTTATTTACTTACTGGGGTGGTGTGGTGTATGTGTATATATTTGTAGCATGTCCTACTATAGAAACTCAGTAAGACATTCGTGTTTTTGAGAAAGAAGTGTCAGTATTGCCAATCACAAACCCATTAATCTAGGCTAAGGCCGTAACTCAAGATAGTTAAGAATAAGTTGTTTAAAAATGAGATGTGTTGTGTATGTTTTTTCCCCCTACAATATAACATATTTGAATCTTGCTACTGGCTGCCTAGGTATCTAGGTTTTCAAGACATATTGACTGCCTTTTCTCTATATTCACTCTTAACACAAGAGCTAGATACCATTCTTTAAAACGTAGATGCTAAGTGAGAATTGTGACACAGTTCATATTCAATTCAATTCAGTACATCCTGGCCCATAAGCAACATCAGCACAAACTTCACATCTTTAGAGCTCTTCTCTCAGCAAAAAGAGACCAAATGAAGTCAATGAAACAATGCAATTCATCATAAACTAATAATAATAATAATAATAATAATAATAATAATAAAACGTCCTATTTAATTTAGTATATTTTCCATCCTTAAGATAGCTGGAAAAAAATAAAATAACATAATAAGCTTTTCCTGAAGCTTTTCTACATCTCACATCTTCAGGACTGCGTCTTTTAAGTCATACATATATATTCTTTCATTAAAAGCATGGGACAGACTGGAACTCAAACAGCTCTAAGTCTACCAGGCTTTTGTTCCCCAAAGGAGCAAGTTCCCCATCCAGCTGCAAAGCCTAGATATTTCTGACACTGTAATGAAAAAGATACTGCTACAATAGATAAATAATGAAGTGCTGATTTTAAATACATAATACAGGATACATAAAAATAAAACTAGAGAAATAAAAGTCATTCAGTACAGGTCATCTAACTTCAACCTTCGTTCGCAAATATTTAATGATACTTCAGTAATGCTGATTTGTGTTTTCAGATTAACATTGACAGCCCAGTGAAGAAATCAATTGTCAGGAACCTACAGGAACCAACAGAGTCCTGTTTTGATGAAGCACAGCGAGTAGTGTACATGCATATGGAAAGAGATTCCTACCCTCGATTTCTTGAGTCAAAGTTCTATCAACAGCTCAAACACAGACTCCGAACTGATAGCAATATTCCATCAGTATATTAAAGAGAAGGGCTGAAAACCTCCTTCTCTAGCCAGCGTTTCTAAGACTTAAAGTAAACAACAACAACAAAAAAATCACAGTACATTAGTGTTAATAATCATCTGTTACATTGTTCTTCTGATCTCAGAATTGATGAAGAACTACTTTCCCTCTTTTCCGATGGATGGGTTCCAATTTTGTCTTTTTTTCCCCTCCCTTCTCCTCTCACCAAAACTCTGAAGTGAAAAATAAAGTTTATAGATCTTCAGTCCAAAAAAAAAAACAAGAGTGAAATTTCAGTCTTTTATTGATGTGCAACAACTCTGATAACATTTCCAGGAGTTTTTCCTTTTGAAAGGTCTGAAATAGCAGTTTTGCTGCTGGAAAACAAATGATTATTTGGCTGCATATAACATAGAAGAGGGAAAAAAAAATATCTGCATTGCTGCATTCACCAAGTTTTTGTTGTTGTTTTACTTCTATCTTCTTCCAAAGTAGAAGAAATAAACTAAAGATATTGTGAAGTACAGCTGCTCATTTAACTTTAAGTTACAAGGCAGAGTAATTATACAATTTTATACTGAATTATGGTATATAACATATGTCACAAAGGTATTTAGTCTACAGAAATATATACTGTACAGCTTGTGCCAGTGAATTTATCTCCTATGATAAAATTCATTAGCATGTGATCCTTTCTTCTGGATACAAACATACAGATGCTTCTCTTCCTTTTCAGGTTCCTTAATAACTAGATAGGAGGAGAGCTTATCTTTGAATATCATTCTATAACATGAGCAAGCATCTCTCTTTCTCTGGTTTACCACAGTAAGCTTTTACTTTCACTCTTTCCTTTTTCTTCCTCTTCAACCAGAATGGATAAGCCCTTTCCTTACAAGACAAGCATGAAAACACGGATCAGTGCAAATATACAAGCAAAAGAAATCCCTCTTGTAGCACCTACCTTGTAGCAAGTAGAAACTACATCCGCTTTATGCTTCCTAATCTAGTGCAATAAGATTGAACGTATTCAGGTAGTCCCTCCCCAAAATAAGTACATCATTGTTTAGGCCTACCACATCAAAATCTCACCTCAACATAGCTTACACTTGGGAAGAGGGACAGCAGTTTACCGATGACTTCTGAACATTTATCAAGAGCTATTACATGCGTTACATGGTATCTGGGCTGGTGCTAAGTTGCGCTGATAATTTATAACTGCGTGCACCTTCTGGTGTGAACAGCTGAACAAAAGTGATCATAACACCAGATATAAGGACCCACCAACTCTTCTTACAAATCTTTTTTATGAACTTCTCAAGCTACGGTTTGCGTACTTGAGTAGAGCAGAATAAAGCAATTCTAAGCGTGCTCTAACTGTAACACAGAAGGTATTAAAGTAACCTCAATACTGTAAGGAAAGATTGTACTCATCCTATATAAAAACATTATTCTAGACAGGTGTGATCATGCAGCTCATAAAATCACAATCAACAAGGACACCACGTTAACTTTTGACGCGTGTTGGACTTGGACTCAACAGAGTTTGCAGACGCCATGGACTCACAGCAAAGAAATGCTGCAGGAACTTTTTAGAAGCAGATCCTGCAGGAAGGCAGGTATGTGACAAAAGGCTAAGAAGCTGAAACAAGCACACACAGGCTGGTCAGGCAGCATGCTGGTGCATCTTAGCACCAAAGAGATCATCCAGAAGTAAAAACACTGAGAAATCAGAAGACCCACGAACACAGGAAATCACTTTACGCCATAAAACGTCTTCTGTTTGTTTTGCTAATAAACCATGTGTTTAACAACACATATCCCTGGCTGGCTCATTGATTTTATACTGATTGAGGAACTCCTTCTGGAAATGAAAATGTTCCTCTCCCCCCAAGCTAGAAGAAGAGATCCCTCTTTTCCCAAAACAGATTGTTAACAGACAAAGTTCTCTTGCTCAGTTTTTGTTTTGTGTTACAGCTGCTCAGCAATAACACTTTATTTCCATCGAGTCACATGATTCACAACAACAGTAACTAAAGACAGCAGCAATAATTCACTGCTTTTAACAGCCTCATTAATAGCACTTGAACAAGCTCAGATGTGCTTCCCCCTAGCAGCCAACACTAAAATGTTTGCTCACATTAATCACTGCAATATGCTGTTTGTTAAGATTGAAAAAGCTTGAAATAAATGAGCAGGCAGAATTCTCTCATTCTTACTTTGTAAAAGCACAAAATGAGGTTAAAAAAAAACCAAAAACAACCAGTAGCAAATTTTCTTCAAAGTTAAGCAAGATAAGTAGAAGAGAAAAAAGCTTTTTAACTATAATCAACTATGGAAACTGTTGACCTACTAGGGGCTATTAGGGGATTTTTAGGAGCTTATGTTCCCAGAGGAAAACAAAGTGACTTTAGCATTTTCAAGTACTGTCAAGTTTACCATGCCAAGCACCCTTGCAATCATAGGACCCTTCAGGAATTACGTTTGGTCTAACATGCACTAGACACAGGAGAAAAGGGGCAGTCAAAGAAAAATAACATTTTCCTGCATACTGTAATTAGAGAACAGGATTACATGGGTAAGGCATTTCCTATGCAAAGGCTGCATCGTAACACAGGCATGTCCAAAGTCTGCAATGAAGCTTCACAGTGGTGGTTATTTCTCTCCCTATAGAATTGTACATTTAATAAGTTGTCATGTAGCACTGTGTAACTGTACAGCTTTAAAAGATAGTCCTCTATGTGTATGCATATAGAGATTATATACGAACATTATATATATTATGATTTTTTTAATGTATGCTCTACAATGTAATTATATTACATTCAAATGCTCTTTCATGTACGTCCTATACAGTATTCCTCAGCCCATGTTTCTGCAGAATGAACGAACTGATTACCAAAAAGTATTTTTTCCCCCCCCCACCTTTTCCTCCTCTTAAACACCAAGATTAGTCACATGTCATTTCTGAAGCATGGCTTGGGTTTCCTGCAGCCAGCTACCTGATGTAATGTTCTTGTTTCTTTCAAATGCATCCTGCAGACACTGGAACAGCTGCAACCCTACAGATTCTCCACTATGCCACGATGCAACTAAGAACAAAAGAATTTGCATCTAATATGGTGAAGGGCTTCCGTGGTGCTCACAAGAGTTCAATCAGAACAAGTCTTTAGAAGTTACAAGAGCACACATCCTATTTCTACCCAAATAACTTGGCAACACCTGGCACAGAGAATACTTATTTTTACCCTCTGCAATGGAGAGCTAATTGAAAGCTGTCCAAATTTCCAGCAAATGGGAACTAAGCAAGTACCAATGAACACCAGTTATCTGGTTATCCTCCAAACAACATTCAAAACACATGCTGAAAGAAAGGGGGAGGTAATTGGGTTAAAGAAACAAAAAAAGAGCCTTTGCAGCATGAGGGCAAGAGATGAGGCTGCAGCCCTTCTCCACAGCCCTGTCCCTTTGGGGTTCATTTACCCCACAGATTCATGGCTGTGCTTCTCACTGAGTAGGAATTGAGTAAGCCCAAACCTAAAACCCAAAGCAAACTGTGATACAAGGCTCTGCCGGTAGAAAGGCCTGAAGTACAATGTGAAAGCACAGCTGAAAGATTGCATATCGTGAACATTAGAAGCACCAACAATCAAATGACAAATTGTCATTTTATTTGTCAAGTCCTGAAGGAAAATTGCATACATCTAATGACAGATTTGAACAGTTGCCTTTAGCTCCTATCAGTAGCAGACTGGTAAGTCAAATTTCCCAGAACATCCATCACTGGGGCTATTGCTACACAGCACCAGCCAAGGCAAATAGGTTTTTCTCCCACACTCCTTGTCTGCAAACGGCAATTCCAGTAATCACCTCAGTAACAACAGGTGAGCAAATAAGAACAAGGTATTTAATTTTTCCTCAGAAGAAATAGTTACATGCTCTATTTTATGAAGGTATTTCCTTCTTACTACATCATGGCCTGCTTTGCCTTTGCTAAGGTGGTAAGCGGTCAGCACAGAACTGTAATTTGACTTGCATCAATAGAAGAGGGAAGAAGATAACTTCCTATTCAAAGTACCAAAAGCAGCTTTCCATACACTTGCAGTTATTAAGCTTACCGTTCGCATGCTCTGGTAATAATTCATATGCTCTTCTCAACACTAGAAACATCACTGTTTCCCATTAATTACTGTCTGCCAACAGACTAATAAATGCTTAGCTGAGATAATTGTGTTCTGTCTAGTGAATATGCTAAGGTATAATATTATAAACACTTCAGGGAGCTTTCTTTTTTCAGCCTCAAAAGTGACATAAAAAAAAGGAAATCTAGCAAACCGATTACCTACTCTTACCACTGTAACAAAAGGGTCAACCAGAGAGCTCAGTGGTGAGCTAATGATTGCTAGAAGACTTTACTCAAACATGCTAATCATTTTGCCTCTAGCAAGTTGGATTTACTGATGACTGTATAGCACAACAATGAAGCTAATGGTCTAAATAATCTGGGCAATTATTATTATTATTTATTACAAGTTTTGAAGATTTTTTTTTTTTATTTCTGTGTCTGCACTGACTCTGCCAGCTATTTGAGCTATAAAAAAAAGAGAGCTTTTCTACCCAGCATCTAAAGATTTACAAGTGAAGTCAACCAACCAGAATACATCTACAGCCATTTGTATAAAGGTGCTAATCTACCCCACCTGTACTTCACATCAGCAAAAGAAAGATTAGTATCACTGCCAAGGACTGTCTGGCAATACTACCATAAGTTTGTAGCAGTTGTTGAGAGGCTGGTTTGATAAAAGTACATCTTGTGACTCTGAGGCAGCAAGGCTTTAGCCATGATGTAAATTGGAAGGATTTCTGGACACAGAGAACTTGATTGTCATATGTTTATACCATGGTAATGCATGCAGTCTTCTTGGAAAGAAAATAAAATCACAGGGCATTAGTGCTTTCTGCATTTGAGAACTTATGAAGGAGTAACAGAGCTGAAAAACCAGCAGGAAGGAACTTCACTAGATATATGGGCACATTATACAGGTCACTTCAAAAGTAATACCTTTTATTTATTTCCACGGAAACTACAGACACAAAAAGCAAAATAGCACTATTTGATAGAGCAAATTTTTCAGCTTAAAAAAAAAACAACAACAACAAAAAAACAAAAAACAAAAAAAAAACCAAACACTTTTTCAACCCAGTTGAACACAACAACCATTAGCTATGTACTGCTGCAGTGATAAACAAGAGCATGCTGCTCTTGTAAAGACACACATCAGTAGA